GTTTGGGGTGTTTTTTTTTTTTTTTTTTTTGGCGTGGTGGGACGCCACGGAGAAATGTTACCAGCGGAAACATTGATTTCACTAAAATATTTTGCTCATTGGTCCTTTCTCAAGCTGCACCCCACTCATATTAAAACATATTGTGGTTAGAGTACAAAGTAAATGGTTAGGCCTATGTGCATGTGAAAATATAACAAAGCCTTGAAAAGTTGTACCATCCACACAGACTCGGTTCATGCCTTTCCTGTAGTCTGTCATGCAACTTGTACTGGTAGTAGGTTTAGCATGGCCTGCTGGATGTTTCTGGAGCAGCTTTTAGTGCAGTCCCTTAAAGAAACTGACTCTTTCTTGTCTTTTCATTGGTGCAATACAGGCTGGTGATGATTTTGCTTGCTATGCTAGTTCTTTGGGGCACTGTCTGCAACTGCCTCCTCTGGCAAAATCCTGGAAGAGCTTTATATTTAGCTAATTGTTGGCATCATTTTAGCTTTGCATGAATACTCAGTGATTCCATTTTTTTTTTGATAATCATCTCTCTTAGTGTTTAGTGTGTTTGCACATTTGATCATTTGTTCAGTTTGAGAAAATGTGTAAAGAGTTCAGCTATACTGTACTTCCAAGACATTCAGGCCTTTAATGTTTATAGCTATCTGTTTATGTGTGCACATCAGACACCAACTCAAAAGGGAAGAATATAGACTTTCAATAGAATACTTACCCAGCTTGAATTTAGAAATTCTCTCGGTTATGGCTTGGACATCTGGGATAAAGGCATCTGAATCAAACAGATTACATTCAGTTAACAAACTGGCAATACGTTGTATGTTGGTCCTCCATAACGTTGGACCTCATATTTGTGTGTACAAGATTTCAGATAGAGTAAAAGGCTCAAATTGCTTTTTCCCCTTCAGTTCTTTTATAATCTTCATTTGTTTTCTTCTCTGAACACAGGGAATGATTTTTGCTATCACAGCATCACATCAGAGAAAAGCAAAAGTTTACCATGACAAAGATTGGCACAGTAACTTGGAGTGGAAAAGTAAGTTAACCCTGTGGAACTGCCTGCATTTCTGTATAAATGTATCTTCAAATATTTGCTACATAAATAGCAAATGGTTGTGCTAACAAATATTGTGTCCAGCTGTGTAAAAATGCCCTTTTATTGTAGGACAACAAAACACTGAAACTTGTACACTGCACATGCTGTTATAATAAATGACAAACAGCAACTTAGCTTACAGAAATATTATCAATGTAAATACATCAGTAAAATATATACTGTATAAATATATAACCTTGTTCACATTCACATTCTCCAGAAGGTCCTACTCTACCAGGGTCTCCTGTAGGGCAAGGAAAAGGACAAAAATATGTACATTAAATAGAACCTATTAGCCTTGCCAGAATGGAATAATTTCCCAGAATCAGATGCCAGAAATCAAACAAAAGATGGTCAGAACAGCATACTTTGGGAGCAGAATTATGGTGTCAGCACTCACCTTTTGCACCTTTTGGACCTCCAACCCCAGGGAACCCAGGACTCCCAGGTCTCCCAGGTGCCCCAGGTACCCCAGGTATACCATCGAACCCAGACTCTCCTTGGGAACCTTTGGGACCAGGAGGACCTTGAAGTTGACTGTGGCCATTAGGCAACATCAGGCAAAATGTGCAGAACAACAGAAACTGCATCTTCTCAGTGCAAAACTGAAATATGTATAAAATATAATGAATTGTCTATTTATGGGTTAGATCAGAAATATTATCATCATTTACAACAGTTAACTTTAAAATTAAATCTGCCCATTCTGAAATACTAGTAACACTTCTTACATTTCTTACTACAGTACATGTCTTATAGGTCCTCATACAGCTATTTGCAGATATTCAGATGTGCAATAGTATATGTTTGCTGTAGCTGAATTCACTGTTATTTATAAAATGTAACACAAATCCTAATATCAAATATTGATAAATGGAAAGAAACTTGCTCTTTAAACCTGTGTGCTACACTACTTCCAAAGAAAAATGACAAGTTAATTACATATTAACATCATCAGCTAAATTTAATTTCCATAAATGCAAGTAATGCTGTTTATTTGTTACTACATTTGTCATCACTAAATAGACATTAAGCTGTTGTAAAGCTGTTCAAATAGTCCTAATAAGACAAAATGTGTTTTACAAAAGAGCGATAAGCAGAAAAGAACTCACTGTAAAAACCTGGAGGTGTTGTGCTGTGTGTTCTTCAGTACTTCCAAAGAAAAATAACAGATATTAGGTCAAACTCATGTATGAGGGAGTTGGTCCTGTGTAAACAACAGATGCAACATCTCATTTGGGACGGAGCATGAAAAGTAAATAATCTAGGTCCAAAACCCTCCCTGTTTTTAACTGACAGTGGTCTTAAAGAAACCATAGCTTAGTTAATGCATCCATGGACAATGTGTTGAAGGTTAAGTGAACATTTTCCAACCTGTTTTTATTTTAAATCTTTATTTATTCCAGCCAGAGTGTACTGAGCAGATATCTTTTTAGCACAGAGCTTTTTTTCACCATCAGTGAGCATATCAGTTGTAGAAAGGAGGGAAAGTTTAATGGTTTGCTCAAGGGGAACAAGAATACGACTTGCTTCATTATAAATTTTCTCTGTCAGGATCTATGTAGAAATCTATGGCCTTGTGTGGAAACAGTGCGTGGTAGAGTTTTCATAGTTCAGTTTGAGGCTGTTTTGTTGCCATATGAGGGACAAACCGACATATTTGATGCTGTTGCTAATCACACAAAATCTGTTCAAAAAGATTGATAAGCAGAAAAGAACTTACTGTATAAACCTGGACTGGTGTGCTGGGTGTGCTGCTGTCTGCACTGCTTCCAAAGAAAAATGATTGCGATATTGGGTCAAACTTGCGTATAAGGGAGTTGGTCATGTGTAAACAACAGATGCAAAGTCTCATTTGGGACATAACACAAAGTAATCTGGGCTCTAAACTCTCCCTCTCTTTAACCCATAGTGGTATTTATTTATTTTTACTGTACCCTGACAACTTTACTTTGTGATGTGCACGTAATATGACCGCTTTTAAACAAAGCATAGTTAATGTATCCATGGACAGTGTTGTACATTAACAAATCATTTTCCTGCATTTATTTCAAATCTTTGTTTATCCCGGACAGTTTATTGAGCATGTTTTCATCACTAGTGTTTTCATCAGTTGTAGAAAAAGGGTGGTGGGATGGTTTAATGGTTTACCTAAAGTGCCCCTGGCATGCTCATTTTGCTCAGTTCCAGCCATTTAATGTTTAATCATGGCTACCTCTAGATTAGCTTGGCACCCCTCACAACTCCAAATAGTCTGTAATTATTTCAGAATGATAAAACCAGAGAGCCTCTACCTAAAAATCTTCTGAAGAGGAGCGTTCGTGAATGTGCACGGCTCCTGCTGCCAGTGTTGCGTCGAAAGTGAAGAGCACAACAAACCACAACAGCATTAATTTGAATTTCTCTTCCATAGATAGGTAAACGATGGTAAACGATGAAAAGAGATTTGTAACATTCTAAACTAATCATTCTTAAGAAAGAGTCAAAAGGCCCATCATCATTATTTCCATGATTGTGTAAACAGTACTATAGTACAATATTGATAACCTTGATCCTCTGGAGTGGACAGTGTTATTTATTCTCACCTTTGTTTTCTCACCTTGCTGCCCCTTTTTGTCTTTTTCTGCTGCTTTACTCTTTTACAAACTCAGTGAGCTGAGATTGTCTTAGAACTCTCCTCTTCAGTTCCCAATTTGTCGTTTCCATTGTAAAATGTATAGATGTGCTGCAGCAAGAGTTTGAAAATTCAATTCTTATCTCCTGTCTTTTGTCCAACACTGAGCAAACTCCTGTCAAGTTATTTAAAAGGACTAAAAATGAACACCAAGGAAAAATGTGTGATTTTCATTTAATACTTTTGTAATACAACCAATAATGCTTCTCTTTTACTTAAACATCGAAGTAAAGCAGCATAAAAACCTACAAATTATGCCATGAGCATAAAGCAAAGAAACAGAAGTCATCACCAAGCTACAGCAGCAGGCGACTCCAACACTGAAATTGACATTCAAAGAAGTCCTACTGTGCTTTAGGAAAAGGTAACCAATAAAATAATCACCATATTAATAGATAATGACACATAGTTGCAACACAAATTTGATTATTCATATTGTTTTGAATGTTCTGCCTTTGGTGTTTGTTAACATGAAGATCATCAGTTTACCAGACAAACAACCAACTAGTTTATTGAGCCTTAAAACGTATGATTGAAATGAGGCCCTTTACTAATGGATCACTTTATTGTTATATACTTTTGGTATTCAGTTAGCATAGTTTGATTTACAACAGTTATTAATGTCATGCTTCTGTGATACAATTATACTTTGTAATAAGAGATTACAATATAAAACAGAATGCAGTTTTTCTGAAAGTGTCAGACCTACATTTGAAGCAAATTGTCTCTAACTGGGTCCTTAAAGCAGTTTTCATGTAATATCTTGCAAAATGAGGATGATTTTAACAATTTTTTTTAAATTCATTAGACATTAGAAGTAAAGCAGAATGCATGGTGAATTGTCTTCCTGCAGTCCACTGTCTCTCACTTAGAGTTAAGGGAGTTGTACAGTACTGCACTCAGTCAAATCTTAAAGTAAACATACAGTATAATGCGAGTCATGTGTTGGAGCAAGAAAAACTTAAAGCAAGACTTGTGAGGGATATAGATCTTTTCTATATCTGACAAATGATGTAAGCATTCAGGAAGCATTCCTGTGTGACGTGCCAGACGCCGTTTTCTGACAGCATGGTGCAGCCTGTATCCTGGATGGATCTGTCTGGTTGACCTTCTGCCCATTTGGTAAAGGTCAGAGGTCGGTTTTTCATATCCACCTCAAAATTCCCCTCTGCTTTTTTATTGCTGACATTGATCCATTGATAAAGGTTCTTAAACACTTGAGTCAGGATGTTGTTCTCTTCCTCACTCTGGGGCAAAGCCAGCTCAAGGCCTCGTTGGGAGCAGAACTCGACAGCCCTGGAGAAATTGCCTTTCTCCTTGTTGGACACAAAGAATTTCGGACCAGCTGTTCGCACAAAGTCATAGTTTATAGCTGAAGAAAAAAAGCATACAGATTAGCAAATGAGACAATTTGTTTTTACAAACTGTAAACTGTGAGGGCTCAGTGTAGTGAAGCTAAAGAAAAGAAAATCCACACAACTTTTCACATTTAGAAAAAAACTGTATAAATAAGGTTATAGGATGCAGTGAAAATCAACATAATGGGCATTTCTAGGGGACACAAACTGCTGTTCCTGTAACACTTCTTCATAGTGCTTGATTTTCATACTTACCCAGCTCTAACTTAGCAAGGTTCTTCTTTAAGCTGGATAGCCACTGGATATCTGGAGCAGAAAGTTCAGGTTTAGTTTTAAATCTATGTAACAATATGCAGTTCACATCTGTACCCACATGCACAGGTGTGTAACATCTAAAGGCTTACAGTGTCTGACATATTCAGCTTCCGCTCTTATTGTAATGTTTTTCTTTGAACACTGATTTTTACTGCTCATTATAGCAGATTAATATGAGGAAACCAGGGCAAAGGTCAGCAGAATAACTTGTACACCTTACAATACAATACATGGAAAACCACCCCCAAAACCCCTAAATACTGCTTTGTGAAACTTTTAATATTCACCCTTTTTTGAGATGTGCCAGGGAAATGTTTATTAATTTTTAGGCTGAAATGAAGTCACTTGAAATGATAGACCAACAGTCTGATTAATTGTTAAAGTAATTAAGCACATTTATTGGTTGCAACTTCTCAACTGTGAGGAATTATTTCTTTAAGACTATCAATGTAAATTTAAAACATGTGGGTTTGCACTGTAGCCATGACAGAACTATTTGAAAATGTCATTTTGAACTCTGAAAAGTATCAAACTATAAAAAATTTTAAAAAATCATTCAAAATCAATTTTCCAAAGTGGGTCAGTGATTAGCTTGGATGGAATGTATGGGTGTACATCTTTTTGTGTTTGTTTTGTCTGTATTGTCCATGTGTTGTGCCAAAATGTTCTTATGCAGAATGATCAACAAACTGCGATTTACTGTTTCTCTACTTTCAACAAAATTCATGAAGTATATTTATTACCTTCCGTGCACATTGCATATGGTCCAGGCGCTCCAGGTACTCCTATATCCCCTGAAGAGCAGGAGTCAAACATTAGACCAGACTATGGCAGCTGACACAGAGCCAAGTGACAAAAGGATGTGTAAAGGATGTGGGAAATTGTGGATCTGGGGAGGTTTGAGGCAGATTTTATGATTGTGGCTACAAACAGACTCGTTTTCTTGCTCCAGGAGGAAGATGCCAGAATTCAAACAAAGATGGCTGATGTTCAGCCATAAGTAATAAATATTCTTTGGAAGTTTGGTGAAGTATTTAATATCCACCTTTTTGACCTGGAGCTCCAGGAATTCCTGGTCGCCCTGGTTGCCCTGGTTGCCCTGGTGGCCCTGGAGATCCAGGATGTCCAGGATCTCCTTTGTCACCTTTGGGACCAGGAGGACCTGCAAGTTGACTGTAGCCAATAGGAGCCATCAGGTAGAGGATGCAGAATATGAGAAGCACCCTCATCTTTTCAGTGCAGAACTGAAAATCTACAGTATAGGAAATATAGTTAAGAAGTTTGCTACATCAGAAATATTAACATATACACCAATTTAAAGTTTATAACACAAAGTCAAATATGTTAGTTCACAATATAGACTATAATAGAATTGTAGTCTACATATCTGCAGTAGTTCTCCCCTCGTAATCTACTATAGTTTTTTGTGCATGTATTTACAGATGTGGTTTTTACATATATATACGTATATATATATAACTGTACAACAAGCTAAATGCATAGAAACATCTGTTAAATTTACAGAATTTTAGGCTATACTTCTCCATCTTTGATGCTGTTGCTAATCACACAAAATCTGTTCAAATAGATTGATAAGCAGAAAAGAACTTACTGTATAAACCTGGACTGGTGTGCTGGGTGTGCTGCTGTCTGCACTGCTTCCAAAGAAAAATGATTGCGATATTGGGTCAAACTTGCGTATAAGGGAGTTGGTCATGTGTAAACAACAGATGCAAAGTCTCATTTGGGACATAACACAAAGTAATCTGGGCTCTAAACTCTCCCTCTCTTTAACCCATAGTGGTATTTATTTATTTTTACTGTACCCTGACAACTTTACTTTGTGATGTGCACGTAATATGACCGCTTTTAAACAAAGCATAGTTAATGTATCCATGGACAGTGTTGTACATTAACAAATCATTTTCCTGCATTTATTTCAAATCTTTGTTTATCCCGGACAGTTTATTGAGCATGTTTTCATCACTAGTGTTTTCATCAGTTGTAGAAAAAGGGTGGTGGGATGGTTTAATGGTTTACCTAAAGTGCCCCTGGCATGCTCATTTTGCTCAGTTCCAGCCATTTAATGTTTAATCATGGCTACCTCTAGATTAGCTTGGCACCCCTCACAACTCCAAATAGTCTGTAATTATTTCAGAATGATAAAACCAGAGAGCCTCTACCTAAAAATCTTCTGAAGAGGAGCGTTCGTGAATGTGCACGGCTCCTGCTGCCAGTGTTGCGTCGAAAGTGAAGAGCACAACAAACCACAACAGCATTAATTTGAATTTCTCTTCCATAGATAGGTAAACGATGGTAAACGATGAAAAGAGATTTGTAACATTCTAAACTAATCATTCTTAAGAAAGAGTCAAAAGGCCCATCATCATTATTTCCATGATTGTGTAAACAGTACTATAGTACAATATTGATAACCTTGATCCTCTGGAGTGGACAGTGTTATTTATTCTCACCTTTGTTTTCTCACCTTGCTGCCCCTTTTTGTCTTTTTCTGCTGCTTTACTCTTTTACAAACTCAGTGAGCTGAGATTGTCTTAGAACTCTCCTCTTCAGTTCCCAATTTGTCGTTTCCATTGTAAAATGTATAGATGTGCTGCAGCAAGAGTTTGAAAATTCAATTCTTATCTCCTGTCTTTTGTCCAACACTGAGCAAACTCCTGTCAAGTTATTTAAAAGGACTAAAAATGAACACCAAGGAAAAATGTGTGATTTTCATTTAATACTTTTGTAATACAACCAATAATGCTTCTCTTTTACTTAAACATCGAAGTAAAGCAGCATAAAAACCTACAAATTATGCCATGAGCATAAAGCAAAGAAACAGAAGTCATCACCAAGCTACAGCAGCAGGCGACTCCAACACTGAAATTGACATTTAATAGCCTCTATGCTAATAGTATGAGTTTGCATTCTATCTATTGCATCATTGTAGGATAATGCTAGAAAGAAAATGATTGAACTTTCGTTTATTGAGAAATTAAACTGGTCTCTTCAAACAATCGCTGTGACACAGTTGTCTCTGACAGGTAATTTGGATTTAATAATAGTCTGGCATTCAGACTTGGCAGACAGCAGTTAGAGCAACATGGATGAATTCCAAATAAGGCTTCTGTAGCAAATAATGGTAAAAATCTGTTTTACTTAATGAGAGGTTCAGATTATGACATGAGCATAATGCAGAGATCAAGCATCACCAAATCACAGCAGCAAGCATCTGTAACGCACTGCTTAAAATTTAATAGCGTCTATTGTAATGGTATGCATTCACATTAGAGGATGATTTTACGTTCACGTTTATGACGATTATTGCAATAAATGAACAAATGCCGATAAAGTTCAGAACTGTGGCCACGATGTTGAGGCAGCGTGCAGTGTTGCCGTAGTTTCGGGCACCATTCAGATCTCCAGCCACTTTCCGGTCTCTGGCCTAGAGAAACAAAAGAATTATTGATTTTAAAAGTGGATTCATAATCATCCACAATCTCAAGGGATTTAAAACTGCCAGTGTTGAACATAGACTTAATTTCATCATCTCTTGCTAAATCTTTAGATTATTTGCTGTAAATGCAGTTGCTCCTTGTTCTTTCCTTCCATTTTATCTTTCCCATATAATTTCTTAACATAATCATTTTCTTATTCTTCAAGAAAAGTTGGTAACAAACTTAATGTTTATTTTTTCATATCTTTGTTGTATTTGTCACATTAGTTCATAACATTTTAAGCCTAAAATATAAAAACTTAGTTCTAAATTATTCTATTTATCTGCCTCTTACTAAATATTGGTAAAACCTTCCTATTTTTCTATTGCATCATTGTAGGATAATGCTAGAACTCTCGATTGATTGATGGAATTCATTAGCAGTTCAGAGCCGTCACACATAAAATTACCTTGACAGAGAAGATGAGAGCAACCAGTCCAAAGCAGAAGACATTTCCATAAACCAAGTTGAAGATAGACCAGATGATGTGGTCTTTTGGGGGGTCAGTGCTGATGTTCACAGTGGTGTATTGAACCATCGGAGGTCCTCCAGGCTGTCCAGGGGGCACATCATACCTCCCCACCTGCAATGGGACAGCTTCAGCCTGTTGCCCTCCATGATCCATCTTTCTCAGCTCAGTTGTAGTTTTTGAGGTGGTGGCTATAGAAATGCATGCGAGAACATGTGGGTGTGCAAAACGTGTTGGTTAGTTTTGACCTATTTAATTTTAGGTGTAGCGCACACCTTTTTTATTTCTTTACATCAAAGGCCTCTGAGGTAAAAGAAAACGCTGGTGTTTGCTGTTGCTGTGGCAAAGAACATACAGTCCAAATGCCCTAAGGACTTTACAAATTCAATTTAAAATACAGTACTTACTTATCAGAACATCCTTTAAATTCTCAACTATCATTCCTTTTGTTTTTCTTTTTTTAAAATACTTTTTAGGCTTTTTGCATTTATTTGATAGTTGTCTGTGTGAAAAGACAGGAAATGTAGAGGAAGAGCATTGTGAGGTTCAACATATGTAGCTCTCCTGTGATTATGTGGTAGTGATTAGGGAACCACACATCCAAACTGTCAAAGTTCCAGCCAGGTGGGAACTCACTTCTTTTAACAGAAAAATGCAGAAGGGCAAATCCAAAAGCCTACAAACCGGTAGTTGCAAAGCCAGCAGCTTACAAAACAAACTGCTGTACATGGTCATGTAATGCCCCTTTTTGAGTAACATAAGCATAGAATAGATAACACCCCAGTCATGTCGGAGGACACCTGTCTTCTTGCCATTTGATCAAACATAAGATCAAAATTATATAGAATACATGGTACCAACTAAACAGTGGTGGAAAATGTGGTTAGAAGGTTAGTTAAGTGTGTATAAAGTATATTTATTTATTTTCAACCTCCATTTTCCAAGCACACTTAAGTTTATGAAGGAAAATGATTGAACTTTCGTTTATTGAGAAATTAAACTGGTCTCTTCAAACAATCGCTGTGGCATAGTTGTCTCTGACAGGTAATTTGGATTTAATAATAGTCTGGCATTCAGACTTGGCAGACAGCAGTTAGAGCAACATGGATGAATTCCAAATAAGGCTTCTGTA